ATTTATTGGAGTAAACTATGAAAAACCTGGCTAAATTTCATGCATACTGACAGCTCCATCGTTTGTTTACGGCAAAATTTTTCTTCTTCAATAACCCATATATTCATACCGCTTTTCCAAAAGTTTTGCTCCTGTCAGCTTTTTTCTTATTACACACTATTGTTTGATGAACAGCGGACGGGACGGATCCCATAGTTACTAGGACCTGCTGTTCAGTGATGGTAATCGGTAACCTAAGCCCAGCGGGACTTGGAGTGGCGAACTACATAAAGCCCCGTTAAGTCAGGCGTGGTATAGAGCCGGGTAACAGTAAAACTATCTACCACAGAACAAAAGCGTTAAACTGCAATTGAAATCGTGATGCTCATTTATTATGTCAAAGCTTCTTTGAACTAAACTAAACCGTGCTTTTGCGCGGTAACAGTCATTATTTCGGTTACGAATTCTTAATCGAACAAAACGCAAGAAATTCATAAGGCTATCATTAAAGACAACATCTGAACAAACATGATTTTGTAATTTGTTTCAGCCAGGGTATGAGCTGGTTGGCGCAGTGATAACGCACACGCCTTCCATGCCCGATGGGTCCGGAGTTTAAATCCCGAACGATGGGACGGTGGATATGCACTACTGATGAGCTATAATAAGAGCGAAACTGGAGTCTAGTGCTTCCGAGTGTATGGTTGAATAGATGAACTGAGGATTGTGTGCGTGATGGATAGTCAGTTCAAATCAATCAAATTCATAAGAGTTGGATCTATATTTATTTTTAGATATTCCCGATCGGATATCCAGTAAACTCCATCTCTCTCTCCATTTCTCTTCTGTTTGCTTTCAGCCACATCGATTTTCGAAATCCCCACAATTCGCATGATTTCCGAATCTTCCGACAAGAGCCAGAAAGGCGAGTACAGTCGATTGTTTAGCCGTCAGTATCCGCGAGGCTCTCGTCGATCCCGATCACAATACGATGATTTTGACGATGTGGAACGAAGTCATGAGACGAAAACGGAAGTGGACGAAGACGATGAAGATGTGGATGGATTGGACGATGAGAATGAGGATTCCACTTCGCTCAGTCAGTTTGTTCATGCCGAAGTGAATGAAAGTGTTCATGGTGAGGCACACGGACGCTGGCACCGAGCTGCACCGTTGCGTACGGATAATCGTAACGTGACGAAACCAGTTGTGCCTTGTTCCTCCTCGATGACCACATCATCGGATGCACCATCCTCGAATACTCAACCGGACTATGTGACCGCCTGTACAAACAATAATCAGCATAATGGAACTTTCCAGGTGTGTCATAACAAAGCTCTGTACCATCCTTGGTTGATGGCCGAATGTGAAGCGACTAGGAATGGACATCCCCGGCGTCTGTATGCCTCACGCGCTTACGAATCCGCGGATGCGATAATTCAAGCCGTACCAGTTGAGAGTCCCAAGATGCCAATCCGATCTCGCCCCAGTGGTGCAGCAGATTCGAGCGAACATGTTCCGGTGAAATTTTTCCCCTCCAGCTTCGATCATGCACCCGTCAAAAGTTACAAGACCCAAGGCAGCGTGAAGTCCGCCGTGAGCACAGTTGGAGACCAGAGCCCGTCGACAAGCAATGGATCCACTTTTCATACAGTTTCGAATGCACCCGGTCCCTCACCCGCTCATCTTACCCAGTCACCTTCATTTCATACTGTTTTCGGTGGAACCGGTTGCGTTGGCAGCGGTGTGGGTGGTGGAGGTGGTACTGAATCTTCCGGATTCACCAGTCCATTATCAGTTCAAAACCCGGCACGAATACCTCCGAGTACTCTCCTGACTGCCTATCATCCGTACCTTTATCCGACAGAATATTGTTTTCCGTACGTGCCAGCTGATATTTCTCAAATGAATGCCTCATTATTCTATGCGGCCGCATCACAAGTCTCTAGTGCCTCAGGTCCCAGTGGCCCACTAATAGAAGAACGTCGAACTGCCGCGGCAGCAGTGGCTGCCGCTGCGGCCGCCGCAGCTGCCTCGGCTGCTGCTGCAGCCGCAGCAAGCTTGTATCATCATCCACCGAACGCCAACCCAGAGTTGATCGCACCGCCTTTGCCTTCTCGATGTCCACTGACTACCAGTTGCACGTCGACAGCCTCCGGAGCAACTAGTGCTACCAAACCGCGAGGTAGTGAGACCAGTCAGACCACAAACGCCTATCCATCAACGTGTGCATTTGGCCCGACCGGTTATATGTGTGCATATCTGATGCCATCAGGCACCGGAACCGGCGCTCCCCACAATAGTAGTTATTGGCCTCGAACGATTGTTCCTCCAGCCTACACCAATCCTGATCCTCGGCTATGTACCATGTATCAGTCTATGTTGTCCAGTGGTCCTCCAGGTACACTGATGGAAATGTCTGCTACTGGGGAGAGCGGGGACACACTCAAACGCCCAGTTTCCAATCAGCCACAAGGTAGCACTGCTTCTCCGGCTGATCACACATCTACACAATCTTCTTCCGGTCCTTCTAAAGCAGTACGTGATCAAGATGGTGACACAGAACAGGAACAGTCGAGGGGAATCACGGAACCATCGGTCAGTTCCGGACCATTGTCAGAGTCGGCAACTGCTATCGAGAAACCCACACATCCACCATCTTATCAAGAAGTTGCACAGTGGATGCAGTCTGTTGCAGCCCACACGCATTCCATACCACACACATCGTGCTACGGAACAAATTCTACCTTTGGTGGTGGTACGGGAGGGACAGCAGATGGTTCCATTCCTCATTGGATGGTGTTTTTACCTTATCAGGTGAGTCTTTCCAAATGAGATTTTCTTCTCAGTCACAACTAATTCCGATTTCTTCACAAATCACTCTAGGGCTTAGTGCTACTCTTAAGAAATTTGCCATGATACTGTCAAGTTATCCGGTGCTTTTTATCCCATGATGGCTACATTTCTTAGTCAGATTTTTCAAAGAACCATAAAGAACACAAACACTGTAAGCCCAAGCACGACTTAATTCCGGAATCACTTGGCTGCATCTCAGCTGGTGCTCACACTGCAGAAAACAGAATAGTTTATATGTATATCACAGGGCATAAAATCTAACATGGTATCAGTTTATTCTTCCGCCTACGTGATCACCAGGGTAATACCAGACTGGTGTAAACCTACTTCTGCTGACACAGTAGGGGCTTTCGGCGCTCGACTGCTATGACCTCTGTGATCTCTGTGTAAACAACCCGAAACAAAGTCCCCGTGATTTGGTTGGTGGTCAGTCTGCAGCAGATGGCTAGCAATTGGTTACGCAAATGCTTTGTGAGACTGGCTTGGTTGTTTGTGTGGCGCTCAATCTGACCCGTTTGCGTTGGATCCGTACCGGTATGTGTTCCTCAACTCGGACACGCAGCTGCCTCTCTGTTCTGTCCACGTAGTCAGCGCCGCACCCACATTGAAATTTATAGATTGCATGCGATTTGGCGGACAGAGAGAGCGGTGATTTCACCAACGGCTTCGGAATCTGGGTTATTGTGAAGCGAACGACCGGATTGACAGCAAAATACATGTGTGCTACACGCGCCACCAACCGTCTTCGTATGAGTTGGCCTACATCATCACCCTTTAAAGGGAGCTAAATGGTGACGTCGTATTTTGGTACTGTCATCTCCGGGGGGTTGGGCTCAACGTTTTCGCTGTAAAATTATATGAACTTTGCTTTCGTGATCAGCTCACTTTCCGCATTATCTGAAGTGCACAGCCTCCTGGTGCGGTCAAACAGTGTACGCACAAGACCTCGTTTATACTGGATTGGAGCGCAACTCCCAAAATGCATATACTGACCGGTCCAGGTAGATTTCCGATGCATAAACCTCAAAATAGTCCCTCCGATCTTCGACTAATGACAATATCCAGAAATGGGAGTGTTTTTTCTACGTTTCCATTGTGAGTTGTATGTCCTTGTGACGTGAATTCAATTCAGCTGTCAGCTCTTTAATTTCCCTGGCGCTTCGGGTGATTATCAACGTGTCGTCGACGTATCTTTTGTACAGAACAGTCCCATTCAATGCCCTACTGGATTTTTTCTCCAGACTAACCATGAAAATATCAGCTAAATTAGGACCCAACGGGATGTCCATAGTCACCCATCTACAGATGGTTTGTATAGTTTTCACAACAGGAGGCACACTGCCACTCACACCGCGAATGGTGCTGATTTATGGTGTTTACTGGTGACCCTGCAGTTTAGTATGTATTATTTCCGTCATATTTTACTTGTCATCATCTTAAGCGCACCTTATTTGCTTCGGTTTTGAACATCCTGCCACAGGTTTTGCCAATGGACATCTATCCTTGAAACCCATGCGAATCACCGATCCCATCTCTTTTACCCCGTGCATCACTTCTGCATTAGCCTACTTACAACGGTTTCAGTAGCTAAACATTAGGTACGGAAAATTGGAAGTTTGTTTTTAATTGTCCCTCCGCCACCGCCGTGTT